GAGACATCGCAAGCTATCTTGGTTTAGGCACTGGTGAAACATCGCAAGCTATCTTGGTTTGGGGACGTGGTGAGACATGATTCTATTGCAAAGACTAATTCAAGAAACTTTGGGTGGTAGTCAAAGAAGAGGAGGGCAAAGAAGAACCTGGAATGACAACATCAAGAAACGGACAGGATAAAGTTATCCTACACTTATTCATCAAGCAGAAGACAGAGAAAGATGGCGGGTTTTAAGTGCTAGTGCTTCCATCATTACACCTCCATGACCCTAAAGGGGTCAAGGGTTAGGTTATTTTAACTGATGTTCACATAAATAATTTCATGTAAACAAGAGTACTAGTAAATGCACAGGTATACATGATAAACAAAATATACCAACATTATCAGTTTATGTTTACATGTTTAAACTGATCGTTGTTGTTGACAACCTTTCCGTCTTTCCTGACGATAGTATAACATTATATATATATATCTATTATAACAAACTCTAACGCCTGTCCGATGAAGCTTGTCATTCTGCTCGTGAAGATATCGGCAAACTTGCTACCGCAGCGACAAAAATAACACCAAATCTCACAATACCTGTTGCAGTCAACATATCGTCTTCAAGAACTGTTAGTCATGACCCGGGTCGGCCCACCTTCCGAGATTGTATAGGAAGTTATGGAGCAAAACAATCGTCGATGAGTGATCTTTCAACTGATGATCAGTGGCCTCCTGTAGTGCATGCTCCCCTGTGGAGTTCTTCTTACTTCTCATTGTGCTGGAGGAAGGAGAGGGAATCACATACAATGGAGAATGCTAACATGACCAGCAGGACCTGCTCGTCTTAAAAGCTCTTCTACTGAAGCCTAGACTTAAACATAACATAATTAATAAATTTACAGTACCAACTGTTATCAAGTGTGGTGACCTAAAGAACTGCAATTGTAGCACTCAGAGCATTTCCATAAGCGCTTCGTCGTCATCTTCAGCAGTCAGCTAAGAGCTCCAATTCCGAGGGTACTATAGCAGTTTGACTGTATGTCCGTATTGCCTTTCCTCCGAATCTAGAGGATTCACCAGATTCCACGAACGCCCCTATTTGCACCCTTCTCTCCAGAACATAATGATCTATTCGTGTCTCCGCATTGTACATCCGTAATCAATCTGACGATGTATCTCATTCTCAGAGGTCCTTCGATGATAAAAAGAATCCTGAAAAGATTCCCATGATTGCTTAAAGCTGCGTGTACAGATGAGTATGGTAGAGGTCAGAACTGTAGGGAGGTTACGAACCCTGGGAATCTGAATGTGCAACTGAAGATAGATGTCGTTGAGAAGAAGACATTTTGTGTCGACGAGGATAATTTCTACTGATGACTGTAGATCCCCGCTGTACTTGCTCCCTGTGAGTTTATTCTTATTGTACGTGGCTAGCCCACAAGACTACCAGGAAAGACTGGTGACTATCAGGAAAGTCCTTTTGACACCTATGGAAAGACTGGCCCCCCGGTATCAAAGGGGGGATAAACTGACATCTGGAGACAGATGTCGACTGTGGACCGGGTTGATCACCCCTAACACAGTATAATACCTCCGATTTCGTACGACCACAATGAAATATGCCCCCAGGGCCCTCCGAAAGGGGGGGAGAATGAAGGGCCCAATCTGATTGATACCCTCGGTGACGACTTTGCTAGCCCCCGGACTGAGTTACTCGCCCAACGTCCGGGCTGGCTCTGTACATGTGGGAAAAGCTTCACGGGGTTGCATGGTCTGAGAACGCATGCCGGAAGAATGAAATACGAGGGTGCTCCACGCAGTAAACGCCGTCGCAAAACTACCACTCCTGTGGTAGTTTCTGAGTCGTCGGGGTACGACGGGCAGGGTGAACCCCACTCGCCCGGAGAGGCCCATGACGTCGACTGCGGAGGAGCACCTTTGATGATTTCTGAAGAAGTGCGTTCCAGAATCAGGTTTCCACCTGCGAGCGAGAAGGTGGTGTGGTGTAAGTTGGAGGCTACATTATGTGAGATACTTAAACAAACTCTAAACAAGAAGTCGCTAGGCGACAAGCTTACTAAATTTGGTGATGTAATATATGAACACTGCTCCCGCGAGTTCGGGACAGTAGTAAAGGCACAGCCGGGTGCCAAGCAGAATACTAGCAGGAGGCAGAGGGACATTCTGAAGTGTCGGGCAGACAAGAATGCCCTCAGAAAACGGTTCAAAGCCGCTACAGGCAGCGAACGGGAGGGGCTGTACGAAGTTTGGTTGCATTTAAAGAACAAACACAGTGCCCTCTGTCGTGCCGAGCGTTTCTGTAACAACAGACGTAGAACCAAAAGGGAGCGAGAGAAATTCTTTAGGGACCCGTATCAGTTTGCCCGAGGTCTATTCGAGCAACCGAAGTCTGGGACTCTGGTTGTCAGTCAGGAAGAACTAGAGCTACATCAACGCAAGATGTACTCGGATAAAAAGAGGAGAGAGCCTCTCGATGACAATCCAGAGATCCTTAGCGGACTCAAACAGCCTTCGGTGCCGAAGGTACCATTTAAAATGGTACCTCCCCTTTGGTCTGAGGTTGAGGACGTTGTGAAAAAGGCCAGCGGCAAGTCTGCCCCAGGTCCGAACGGTGTTCCGTACGTTCTTTACAAGCGTTGCCCGAAAATCCTTAAAATGCTTCACGTCTTGTTGAGACAAGCGTGGATCCGCAATCACATATGTCCAGAGTGGTCAAAGGCAAATGGGGTCTACATTCCCAAAGAGCAGGACTCGAAGAGTCTTTCCCAATTCAGGCCCATCTCGCTGTTGAATGTCGAGGGTAAGATATTCTTCTCAGTCATGGCTCGCCGGCTCACACAGTATCTGATGACTAACAAGTACATAGATACGAGTGTTCAGAAGGGTGGCATTCCAGGCGTTCCTGGGTGCCTTGAACACGCGACCATGATTTGAGAGGCTATCCAGAGAGCCAAGCATGAGAGAACCGATTTGCACGTTGTATGGTTTGACTTAGCCAACGCCTACGGGGCAGTCCCCCTAGGCTACTGTGGCGAGCCCTTCGTATGTTTCACGTACCGACACAGATCAGTCAAATGGTCGAGCAATATTTCTCCAAGTTCGCTTTGCGCTTCTCTACCTCGACGTTTACCACGAGGTGGACTGAGTTGCAGATTGGGATAGCTATGGGCTGTACGATCTCACCTATACTGTTTGTCATGGCAATGCAGGTCATGTTAGACGGGGCGGCCGGCTACGGACTGGGCCTTCAAATAGGGGATCACTGGTTGCCGCCACTGCGCGCATTTATGGATGACACGACTATTATAACGGGCAGCGAGGAGTCTGCCCGCACGATCCTGGAAAGATTGGACGCGGTGGTCCAATGGAGCGGTATGCAGTTTAAACCGCAGAGGAGGAGGAGGAGTCTGTCAATCCATAAGAGCAAGGTTTCGGCAATCAGTTTTACGGTGGCAAGGAACAAGATCCCTACGGTTCTGGAGGAACCGATGAAGAGCCTCGGTCGCGTCTACGATTCGAAGTTATCTGACAGAGCGGAAGTCCGGCGAATACATGAGTCACTGGCTACAGGCCTGCTCGCGATCGAGCGATGCAGGCTGATCGGAAAATTCAAGGTATGGTGTCTCCAATTCATGTTGATTCCGAAGCTCCTATGGCCACTACTAGTCTACGAGGTGACGATGACTGCAGTGGAAGCCATGGAAAAGAAAATCAACACAGCCTTTAGAAAGTGGATTGGTGCACCGCCTTGTCTGACCGACGTGGCTCTGTATTGTAAACAGGCTAAGCTGGTACTTCCGTTCAAGTCGATAACCGAAGAGTTTAAAGTCGGCAAGGTAAGACTCGCCATGCTCTTGCGCGAGTCTTCAGACCCAAATGTCATCGCTGTCCAGCCCGCTCTAAAGACTGGTCAGAAGTGGAGGGTCCTCGATGCGATAGAATCTGCTCAGAACGCACTAAAATTGAAGGAGATAATGGGTTACACACAAACCGACCGTCGAGGCCTAGGGCACGGGAAAGTCAATTGGTGGTCAAAGGCCTCAGCCAAAGAACGCCGAGACATGGTGATACAAACGGTGAGGGACAACGAAAACGAGGTTAGGGTCCAGAAAGCAGCCCAGCAGTCGCAGCAGGGCCATTGGGTCAGTAGATCCCCTCTGTACTTGCTCCCTGTGAGTTTATTCCTATTATATATATATATATATATATATATATATATATATATATATATATATATATATATATATATTATAACAAACTCTAACGCCTGTCCGATGAAGCTTGTCACTCTGGTCGTGAAGATATCGGCAAACTTGCTACCGCAGCGACAAAAATAACACCAAATCTCACAATACCTGTTGCAGTCAACATATCGTCTTCAAGAACTGTTAGTCATGACCCGGGTCGGCCCACCTTCCGAGATTGTATAGGAAGTTATGGAGCAAAACAATCGTCGATGAGTGATCTTTCAACTGATGATCAGTGGCCTCCTGTAGTGCATGCTCCCCTGTGGAGTTCTTCTTACTTCTCATTGTGCTGGAGGAAGGAGAGGGAATCACATACAATGGAGAATGCTAACATGACCAGCAGGACCTGCTCGTCTTAAAAGCTCTTCTACTGAAGCCTAGACTTAAACATAACATAATTAATAAATTTACAGTACCAACTGTTATCAAGTGTGGTGACCTAAAGAACTGCAATTGTAGCACTCAGAGCATTTCCATAAGCGCTTCGTCGTCATCTTCAGCAGTCAGCTAAGAGCTCCAATTCCGAGGGTACTATAGCAGTTTGACTGTATGTCCGTATTGCCTTTCCTCCGAATCTAGAGGATTCACCAGATTCCACGAACGCCCCTATTTGCACCCTTCTCTCCAGAACATAATGATCTATTCGTGTCTCCGCATTGTACATCCGTAATCAATCTGACGATGTACCTCATTCTCAGAGGTCCTTCGTTAATAAAAAGAATCCTGAAAAGATTCCCATGATTGCTCAAAGCTGCGTGTACAGATGAGTATGGTAGAGGTCAGAACTGTAGGGAGGTAACGAACCCTGGGAATCTGAATGTGCAACTGAAGATAGATGTCGTTGAGAAGAAGACATCTTGTGCGTTGTGTGTTTCCACTCCGCTGCTTGCATCGTCTGCTGTAGAACTAATCTTAACTCTTCTTTTATCCCCAAGATAATCTCCGCTTTGAGACATTCGAGATCTAATGAAGTCAGCAATACATTTTTAGTGACGTCAGCAGCTTCCAGCGACGTGTTCAGAGGACTTTGCCTGTCAAACTGGGAAGGTGGTTGCAATGTGCGACCATCAAAAAGCGTCCTACCACAGTAGGTTGTTTGGAAGAGGCTGCGGTTGGGCGAGAGTCCGTTGATGGGCGTGCCAGGAGGTACCGGGGTCAGTTGGGAGATTGTGCTGCGGAGGTCATGGCGTAGACTGTCCATGTGGCCTGTAGTACGAACGACTTCCTTTTTTCGGTCCTCCCGGAGTTCAAATCTGAGGAAGAGAAATTACAAGTCAAAGTCGAGAGGATCTACTTCAGTTTCACTGCAATGGGTTCTATCCCGTATGGCCCGGTCGCGCTCTACAAAACAGTTAACCCCTGATGAGAGTGTAGCATAAAGCACGAACTTCCTAGCTAAAGCGACGGTCCATGATGATCTCCGCAAAAATTGACCTAGTGACCCCGGTGTCTGTTGGTTCTGATTGCCTTGTTCTTAACTTGCAGTCAATTGTCTGTTGTCTCATGTTCATGAAATTAAGCCCTGTGACAGACGAGTCCTCATTTGGACCCCATGGTGTTTGAAGATCGCCTCAGGCAGAGACAAAATCTGACACCACCACTGGTTTTTTAATTTGACATTCTGAAGATTGCTTGCTACACACATACAGTTTTAATATATGGCCGTGAATCCTGGACAATCGGTAGGCAGGCCAAACAATTTCTTGAGGCCTCAGAGATGTGGTTTTACAGAAGAATGCTATGAATACATTGGACAGCCCAAAAAAAAAGAGCAACCAAGAGATTTTGAAAGAGGCGGTAGCCCGAAGACAACTTATCACAGATATCAGAAGGAGACAGTCATAATTTTTCGGCCATGTTATGATAAGAGGGAAAATAGAACATGTTGTGACCACTGGAAAGCTCTGTGGAAGGAGGAATAGAGGAAGACAACGAGAGGAGATGCTTGACAGTCTTGTTTTATGGCATGGAGGTGTGTCGGCACACGAACTGATACATGGTGCAGGAGATCGCAGATTATGGAGAGGCATGATCGTCCACGCCAGTCGGCAAGGCACCTGATGATGATGATGATTCTTATATTCATTTTTTTTTTAAATTTTTTTTTTTTTTTAAAGATGTAATATTTATCTTAAAATTATGAGATAACACATTCACTCCAAAACATGCTGATATTTATTTAAATACATTTTTATTTTTTATTTCAGTGATACAATCTAAGAGGATATTATGATAATTATCATTTTGACACCAAGTTCATCAGACTGAAGTCATGGAGGTTAAACATTGTGTCATCAAGTTAATCAGACTGAAGTCATGGAAGTTAAACATTGTGTCCTCAAGTTCATCAGACTGAAGTCATGGAAGTTAAACATTGTGTCATCAAGTTAATCAGACTGAAGTTATGGAAGTTAAACATTGTGTCATCAAGTTCATCAGACTGAAGTCATGGAAGTTAAACATTGTGTCATCAAGTTAACCAGACTGAAGTCATGGAAGTTAAACATTGTGTCATCAAGTTAATCAGACTGAAGTCATGGAGGTTAAACATTGTGTCATCAAGTTAATCAGACTGAAGTCATGGAGGTTAAACATTGTGTCATCAAGTTAATCAGACTGAAGTCATGGAGGTTAAACATTGTGTCATCAAGTTAATCAGACTGAAGTCATGGAAGTTAAACATTGTGTCAAGTTTCAGATTGAAGTCATGGAGAAGTTAAACATTGTGTAATCAAGACTGAAGTCATGGAGGTTAAACATTGTGTCATCAAGTTCATCAGACTGAACCTGTCACATGGAGTTAAAAATTGTGTGCGAATCAATATTCATCAGTTAACCAAACTAAAGTCTGATAAATGAACATATAAACATCAAGTTAACCAAAGTAATGTCATGACAATGAAAATATATTTAGCAAATTAGCCAGCCTGGCGTCAGTTAGCCCCACTGCTTAGACACCCAAATGTCTCCTTCACAACGAGTTAACTAATCATCTTAATCCGAATAATGTTTTCATTAATGGTCAAGAATGGCACTAGAACAGAAAATAACTACATGGGAAATGCGCTGTCTCCGCAAGGTCACTAAGAAAACTAGACGAGACAGGGCTACGAATACCAGCATTAGAGAGAAAGCTAAAATAAGACTATGTCTGGGTTGTATTGACAGCAAGGAATAAAATGGTTCGGCCATCTAGTGAGAATGCAGCCAGCTCAGACTGCATATTATACTTTTTACAGTAGAACATCTGGGAGAAAGGCGAGAGGAAGACCAAGAAAGAGGTGGGTGAATGGTGTAGCTGAAACCTGCAAGATGTTGAACAAATCCATCACTCAAGCCACACGAGAAGCGCAAGACAAATACAGAAAACCACGTCACTGGGCTACAACCTGGCATCAGGGAGGCGACAAAAGAAGAAGAAGAATTCATTAGAACTTAGTATTTAGTAAACTTTGTTGAACAGATGGGTCATGTGAGATACCGGAAGAGAGGTTTACAAACATATGGGTGGCCCTGATCCTAACGACAGCATACACCATCTAGCAATGAGGAACTGGGCCAACATCTTCAGACTCAGAACACAAGGTATTCCACTCAACGGACATCCAAACAGAAAACAGCCACAACATTCTCTAGGGTTCCAGTTATGTTACTACCCCTACGAAACGGTTGACCATCATCTCTTTGTGTGCCTAAAACTCAGCAAGACTAGAAGAATTCTACTCTACCAGAGACCAGACAAGTGGAACACCTGGTACAGAGGAAAAGAACAGCTTGTGAAAACATGTAAATTCCACTATATGGCATTGCGCCAAAGAGTGAAAGCTCAAGCGCACTGGATCGACAACAACAACAACAACAACAACAAGAGCAACAACAACAAAAACAACAACCAACCCACCTCAGGCTCGAAATGTCTTGTTTGATTTCCAAAAGATCGTCCTCTTTAACGCCTCCCTGTCTTGATTGTTTCTTGGACTGGTGAATATATCTGCAGATAAGCCGTCTCATGACGTCCTGAACAGAGAAATTAACATCAGACCTCTGCATAAAGTTCTGTGTTTTTTTAAAACGTTACTAAATGTTTTACACCTTTTTATGTGTTCTAAACAGGTAGAATTATGGCCATATACAGACTTGTATGTGTAGAGACTTTCATGATGTTTCTTGGTATAATAATGTTCTTCCTTGATTTCCACATCCACACAGCTTTAGACCATGTCCTCAGTCTTTGGCGTGTGGTAGTTTTTCCCTTCATTTCCACATCCATATGGCTTTAGACAATGTCTTCAGTCTTTGGCATGTGGTAGTTTTTCCCTTGATTTCCACACCCACATAGCTTTGGACTATGTCTTCAGTCTTTGGCAGGTGGTAGTTTTCCCTTGATTTCCACATCCACATAGCTTTAGACCATGTCCTCAGTCTTTGGCATGTGGTAGCTTTCCCTTGATTTCCACATCCACATGGCTTCAGACCATGTCCTCAGTCTTTGGCAGTCTTTTAGATTTTAGATCTATACAGAGAGACATTCTAAAATGTGTGAACATCAAGGAAGATTAGCTAATAAACAGCATCTCAACTCGGATGCTGTGATACTGTGGCCATATCAAAACATAAACAAAACAAGAAGAAAATAACAGAAAGCACGGTACCAGGAAGGCCGGCGGACATGAAGATGGGCACACGATGTAAGCGACTCTTTGAGTAGAAAGTGCACGAAGCCGGAAATTAGTAATAATCGAGCTTTTTTCATGCCGGCCGCGATAAGAACGATTTTCTGCAAAGGACGCGGTACACCTTGATGATATATACAGACAAAGATGGTGTACAGTCTCTTTTTAGTGTATTACACAAGCACTGAAGTGGGTGGGGCTGCATTGTCTCGGGGCATGTGTCTGCCACGAGTGCTAAAGGTTCCGCGTTTGATCCCCGGTAAGGGCTGGGATTTTTTCACGTGGATTTAGACCTCTAGTAATTCCCCCGGTCTATAGGTAGTGAGATCGGACACCCGTGTGCATTTTTGCGCACGTAAAAAATTCCCTTGGCAGTTTGAAATCGAAAAGAGAAGCCTAGCGGTGCTGCCCGAGCAAAATTGGAGTCAAAGTATTTCAGGATCATCGCCGGTGCTACAGAGCCTGTGCACTTACTTGGCTGAGCTTCTTCGGACTCAGACGAGTTAGAAGAAGAACGGAGCACATACTGGTTACACCCTTGTGCCACGATGTTGATCCGTTGTTCAAAACCTCAAACACAAGCACCAAGTGCAGAAGAGAAAGGACTACTGTCCAGAGACAAGGTCTACAACAGTTGTTGACAAAATATACGGATAGACTGACCTGGTACTGCTGTGTCGAGTCATGTGGTGTTTGAGGCTTCACCGTGTTTCCTTTATTCTGGTGGCCATTGTATGTAGGTCTCTGTGAAATTAAGAAAAATGTGTCAATTTCATGGCATTTCTTTGTTAAATTTCTGATTACAGGGTGATTATAATTTACAAATATGTAGATGTCTGTGAAATCAAAGTTAAAGGTCAATTTCAAGCCACTACGCTTTGGAGGGCTGTGTGAAATCCATATCGTGATCAAAGTTTCAGTTCATCACAGTAATATATAAACTGAACTTAAAACAGACTCGGATATCCTCATCATCATCATCATCAAGTGCCTTGCCAGCTGGCGTAGGCATTTATGCGTCGCCACAGATCTCGTTTTTTTGGGTTTTCTATATCAATTCCACTGATGATATTACTCCATGCCACTGTCTTAAGCCATCCACCATCATTTCTTTTGGTCTGCCTCTGCCTCTTGTACCAGTGAATTTTCCAGTTGTCACGGTAGTTTCCAGAGCTCATTTTCTCATCACATGACCCAAGAACTTTGTCTCCTTCTCATTGTTGTATCATATTCCACATGGTTATTTCAGGCGTACAGTGAAGGGAAGCGATGTTTAGCAAGCGTACATGCTAGATCAGGTGTTATGAGCTCAAGTCACGCTCGAGACAGTAATATTAAGAAACATATATCTTAGTTTCCAGGCTCCAGTAAGTCTAATATGATAATAGAAAAGTTCCAGCGAAGTAAAAAACACTAACTCTGGTCTACAGGTGACTTCGCGAACGTTCTATACAGGCTTAATGTGACTGTGTTATATGGCTATACGACCAATCGAGGTTTCCAGGATTGGTATCAGTTTTATTCTCAT